TAACATAACACTAACCAGCTGATAACATTAAGCAAAATATATAAACACTGGAACAGTTTACATTCATTGTTATAAATTTATACAACTATAATTATAAATATACATCTTGATTATGTCATTATTTTCTCTGTGTTACAAGTGATATCCATTTTAGTTGTTGCTACTGTTGAAAATCACCAAGTGATGTGGTTTCTGTGATTTGGTACAGTTCTTTGTATGTGATTTTGTAGCACTAGTCCACAAAGTTCAAAGAAGGATGGTCTTTACTAAGACCCTTGGGCTTCACTTGCTCAAAGCCTTTTTCTACCATTGAACTTAGAAAGCAGTTGTATATAACTAAAAGTTTAGATATTTCTGAATAGATTTGGTGCCATGAATGACATCCATATGAGAGTCTTGATCTGATTTCAGGTTAAAGTTGTGGTTTTGTAGCAATTTGTAGTATTAGGCAAAACTACCTCTCACACAGCGTATTCTATATTCAATTTTCTTTTCTCCTATACTAAATTTGTTATAACTATTACACTGACTGTATACTCACCTCTCACAAGAAATGTGATACATGGCCAGTTTAACTTAGATTGCCCATATAAATTTAAGTACAGTACCAGATTGGCTGCAAGGTTTCATCAGTTTACAGTCAAAGTGGTTAGATGCAACATTCTGTGTTAACAGTTTCTTTTCTCACACTTCTTGCTTGTGGAACCCTCTTCTAGTTTTTTGTTTTTCAGACAAGTTAGATTGCAGTGTCAATCGTTATATACTGTCCTCCTTATTACTCTTCTATTGTTCTCTCTCCTCAATAATACTTCTGTTTTCTAATTCTCTCACACCCAATAACCCCTTGTGTGGCTTTACTACCTTGCTTGGGGTGAATGTGATTAAAAGAAATGAAAAAATATATTTACATATGGGCCAAGATAAAAATAAAAAATTAGCCTGTACCTGTGACCACTTTCATACTAAACTTGCTATCCATTGACCCTTCCTTTTTAGTACAATGCTGCTGTCAGTTTGGAATTATCTGAACCAAGCATCCGTTATTAATGCTAACTGCCTGAAAGCAGAAACATAGTAGAGAGGAGAACTGTTACTACACTCTAATCCCAATCTGAAGATTGAGGAGTGTGTGTTCAGATCTTTGGTAGATGTGCCTAGAAGAGAGACTTTGATCAACAGCAGAGTGCATAGATACTCTGAATTGAGACAGAAATACTGATCATAAATAATCCCATCATTTTTTATGGGTAATATGCTAATATAATGTTAATGAGGATCAGTTGGTTGATTTTACAACATATCAAGCAAGATGAGAGCTTCTCTGTACCGTGCCCCTTCAGGAAATGGACGATTATAGCTTTCCACAACTTCCTGTCTTTTGTGGCTCTTAGTAAGGTTTGTCTTTTTAGTAGCTCTCCTAATCTATGTTCTGTCAACCAATTATACAAGATTCCGAAATAATTAAATGTATATTTGTAATTACTCATGTAAAAATAATGAAATATTAAATTATAAAAAGTGGTACAAATTCACCATGATAACCAAATGTTAAACCATCTGACATTCAATATATAAGGTTCCAAACACACCACTGTTGTCCTTCAGGATGGTGGCATAGTCATTATAGGAGTTGGTTACTATCATCTAGTTGTTGACTTCAATCCCTGAATTAGGCAGTAAAACACTGGTTTAAAAGCAATTAACAGTAACTGACATCACAGGGCAAAATGACACAATTATCAATAGATGTCCAATATCAGACAATCAATGGATACCCGATGCTGGGCAGAGAGTACTTGGCCAAAACAACATCACTAACAACCAAGATTTGAACAATAGTTTGCAATAATTAAAAGTATAATGTCAACCTTGTTAGATTATTTAATGTTGAATTTTGTATGGGACACCTAGTGAGGATCAAACTCATTGTTCAGTAATAATAGTCATCCAAACTAATGAGAATGTATGATGTTCTTATAGTATTTATAACCAGAATTACATCTGAATAAAAAACATTTTTTAAAGTAGCAATTATTTCCATTTAGCAATAACCAGTGTTTTCTCTTGATAACAATAAACAAAAGTCATTGTTGAAAGTCTGTTATTAGTCATTAAATGATTTGAACTAGTGTCCTTATCTTTGTTGTTTTTATAACATTCTTTGGTCTTTTCTCAGGTGTCATATTTTGTTTTACTCTCTTCAAACAGTTTACAGATCAAAGTATGATAGTTTTATGTTTATGTGAGAAAGTTTTCAGGCCAGAATAAAATATCTGAAACCCCTTCCCCACAAAAAAAAATATGCACAATGTAAGCTTCATATGGTATAGTTTAAGTTTTATAAATAAATTTATCATAACAGACCCAGAGGAACTAAACTTCATTAAGATTAATTATTCTGAATCTCTTTGTTGTCACTATATCTTAATATCTTTGTGTATGATACCACTTCTTGCTTGCTATGGGTAAATAGCAGAGCCAATTGTAGGCCTTTATGTTCAATAATAGGTCAGGTCAAGGGTGGTTCCTTAATGCTGGTACCATGTAAGCCAATACAACTTGCCATATCTTAGTTGGAGAGAAGATAGACTCTGTTAAGCAATCCCCATTTCACTGAGAGATGCTATGTAAGGGTAATTTGCTTGTCATGTCATACTGACAACCTAATGGATCATGGGAAATGGCCATTCTGTATTAGGAATTCTTTTGAAGTATTGAATATTTTAAGTTATGAAAATATTAATTTAAATTCTTGCTTTATTTGGTACATTTACCCTATTTTTTATGTATAAGATGCACTTTTTATTCTAAAATTTGATGTCAAACTCTACTTTCATCCTATACACCAAAGATACACACACACACACACACACACACACACACATATATATATATATATATATAATCATTTTATCTCAAGCAAAGCCACTAAGACATAAGTAGTTGCTGAGTGTGAAAGAATAAGAAAAAATTATTAAGGAGCAAAAACAATAAAAGATGGATAAATAGTTAATGATTGATATTGCATTTAAATTTTTGGAAATGAAAATTGACTAGAAAACAAGAAATTGGAAGACAGTTTCTCAAGCGAGAAGTGCAAAAACAGCTAAGCAATTCAACATTAAAATGATGAGACCTTGTTGTCAACTGCACTTAAATTCATAAAGTTTAGGTACCATAGAGTGAATTGATCAGAACAATCACCATGTAAGTATTTATAGAAAAAGCACTGGGAAGCTACATTACAGTGGTGGGAAAGTTACTGAAACTGAGATGCCAGGTTAAGATTAATAACATTGCAGGTTCTTCTTTAGATGCTATCAATCAGGAGCAGCAGATCATATGTGGCAGCAATATTTGATGAACAGACACTATTCAATGCAATGCAGGGAAGACTTATAAATATCTAAGATAGATTCTCAAGAGAAAAATTGTTTACCATGACACTGAACCATCTTTCCTAGCAGCAGACCTAGCAACTGATTCAATACAATTATATATATATATATATATATATATATATATATATATATATAGAGAGAGAGAGAGAGAGAGAGAGGCAGTGGGTAGTGGCTCGGATTGAGGAATTGGAGAGCTGAAAGGTTTGCTCAGTTATGCATAAAGCCTTCACCACTATAATCAAATCATATGTGCTAGTGTCTGGGGTGTCAATTCCTAGAGACTGAGCTGATTGATCCTTCATATATATATATATATATATAAAAAGATGACAACCCAGTGGCACAATCTGTTTCATGCTAAATGCAATCATCAGAACAATTATATATATATATATATATATATATATATATATATATACACACACACACACAGAAGGTGCAATGGATAAATTATCATCATCTTATATTTTTAATTTTGTGCATGCACATTGTTTGTTTTTTGATTTTTGTTGAATGCACAGTATAGTTGGTTCAGTTGGGCACCGTCTACAAAAAAAAAGACCACCATGACATAATTCACTCCACCAGAAATTTGGAAACGGTATGCTGTACTGCTTGGCATTCACACCAGAAGCTCTAATACAAACATTTCACAGTGTTTGGGTATCAATCTCAGAACAGTGCAGAGGATTTGGAATGAGTTGGATGAGCCTAATGGTGATTACAAAGTTGTCTGGAGTGATCACTAGGACCACAGGACCTCAAACTCAACACAGAGGCCTTGAGTAGGTGGCGCTGCCCTGGGTCAAGAGGGTGACTGCTGGAAAAACTTATGTCTAGCAACAGAACTCTGCACCATGCCACACAAAGACAAGAACCCAGTCATGTCTGTCAGAAAATTTCTGAAGCCACATCACCCCTTACTTCACCTAACTCACCAGACTGCAACTCCCTTGATTATTACATGCAGGGCACAGTTGAGCAAGAGACCAACAAAACTCCTTCTAAGACCAAAGATGAACTGAAGGCAAGGATTATGACAGCATTCACCAACTTAAACAATGAGACTGTCCAGAAGAGTTGTAGGAGATTTCAAAGTCGTCTGGAAGTCATGGTTGAAGCCAATGACAATTTTGTTGAATAAATTTACTCATTAGAAAAAAATATAATTTATTAGAATAGATCATCTAGTTTTTTAAATAATAAAATGATGAGACCTAACTGCCAATCTAGTAGTATGTTTAAATTCATACGGTTAACATACCAAGGAAGAGAACTCAGAACAATTGCTAAGGAAATAATTATTAAAAAGAAAGAGGGAAACAACATCATGGTTGTGGGAAAGTTAATGAAATTGAGATGCCAGGTCAGAATCAATAATATTTCAGACCCTTCTTTGGATTTTGTTGAGAATCTTAAGATATACAGACAGGAGCACCAGACCAGATATGGCAGCAATATTTAATGCCCTGACGAATGGTAGATCTATAAATGTACAAAATTCTGCAAAAATGGACTACATATCTTCCCAAAAGTGAGTTTGGAAAGGGTGCTTATAAATTTAATATATATCATTGCCTTACACTTATAAAAGGCTTACAACGATATCACATTGAAACACTGGTTCTTGCGTGATAACTGAAGTTAAGCAATATCAAGCCTGGTCAGTACTTAGATGGGTGACTGCTTGGGAATACCAGGTGCTGTAAGCTTGGATGTGCAGGTGGTCTCATAAATAATAGCTCAGAAAATGAAAGAGCTGAGTTCCAATTCCAGTCAGGTTCATTATATTCACTTATGGGCAAATACCCTTGGGAAAAGGCATGAATCCACCTCTTCCCAATACTGTTATGGGTTAATAATAGGTCTTGTATCAGTATTATCTCAAAAACATTCTTACAATTTAAAAATATTTTCTGGCTTTAAATAACCTGCAAAGGGTTGATAAATGATAAAAAAAACAAATCAGTCAGTCAATCAGTCAGAATACACTTGTAAGAGTAACCATCATTTCCATTTCTCTTTCTTTTCTCTCTTTGGCTACTTTCATCTTGTATTAACTTATGTGAAATTTATTTTATATCAGTCTAATTTCTGTTTGTCATTGTGTTAATATAGTTCAGCAAAAACAGCACAGCATAGTAAGTTTTTTGGTTGGACAATAGTATTAAAACTAAAAGACTCAATTCCAATTTGCTTCTTAACAAAAATGGAGTATTCAATTTTTTTATATCGTTTTTATGCTGTTACAAAATGTTAAAATCATATCAAAATTGAAAGATTGAAAAGAAATGAAAAGATTACTAATTGCAGCAGGAAATAATGATGTTCATCAAATAATATTTTATTTCATAAAAATGTTTTTTATTTATAGAAATATGGTTTTTACAAAATACAGGATTCCTTTCTTTATGCCAAAATTTTTAGTCTTTTGAGTTATTTTTCATTTTTTATCAGGAATATCTTTTTTAATTGAAAGCATGTATGTTAGAAAAAAGTATTTATCATGAAACTCCTGCTGATTATGGATTAGTACAACTATAAATAAAGCTAACTTTAAATTTTGAATATAGTTGGAATTATGCTAATTACAGAGTAGTTTTCCCTTATTTATTTGCAATTGGGAAAAAATGTATGACAAAGTGGAAAAAGTTTCTTGTGATACATTTTGTTTTTTAGGACTTCATTGGTCTAAATTTGTTACGTTGATGTGACTACACATGCACACAAACATGAAATACTGGGAATTTAATTTTTTTTTATCTAACAGATTTTGTTTAGATTCTTTTTCTTTTTGTTTCCATCACTTTTGTGATTAGATAATCCCAAATTGTGATAACAGAACATCTGCCAGGAATGGTTAAATGTTGTAAGAGTCAGGGCACAAATTTACTGTGGATGACCTTGTGATCAAGGCACTCTCTAGACATTTTTGTCATAGTGAATTATTTTCTCCTTTGATCAGATTTGCAATTATAATTTCTATAAAGAAAAAGTTATATGACACTGAGATTAATGGTCATTATCTGAGTGCCTTTAAATACATTAATTATGAAGTCAGTTATGAAGTGAGTTAATGGTAAGAGGAAATGTTTTCATATCCTTCACTAATTAACAATCAAAATTAGAAAATTCTTTCTACCAAAACATTAATATGAATGTTTTTGTTTTGTTCTAATCATATCATGAAGTGAAGATATTTGACTATCTGCACATTCTTCGAGCTCTGGGTTTCTTTATATTAAGAAGTGTAAGATATTTTAAACAGAACACAGATATTTTAAAGAAGGAATAATTCTTTGTACTACAGTTAAAAGAAAATGCAACCAGTTGCAATTTCCTTGTAACTAAAAGAGAGAAAAACCGATCAAGGAAATATAGCTGTACCATTTCTTTATCCAAGAATATATTCTTAGAGAACTGGTTGAAATGGTATTAATGAATAATAGTCCAAAGAGAATATTTCTGGTTCTTGTTACTTGCTGATTAGTGGGTCCCTACACAAGAGTATTCTGCCCTTGGCTCATCAAGTACATACAAATAAGCTGACCAAAATTGTTCCCATTTGAGCCTCACACCTCCTAAGTTGGTTGCAAATAACTGTAGAATGACAGTTGTAATAAAAAGCAACAGAAATAAAGATGACAACAAAATGTAATAACAACGGACAATCAATGCTTCATCTAAGGAATTTGAATCTGATAATATTGGTTTAATTCTTCTTAGAAGCTTAGTCTTTATTTTCAATCCATACTTTTTACTTTTTTTAATCATTTCACCCCAAGCAAGGTGATAATGCTACTAGGACACAGGAGCCTACAGGGAGTGAAAGAGAAAGGGAAGACTTTAGTGAGAAGAAGTGAGGAAAAGGACAATAAATGAACAGGATTCAGGAAGAAAGATGGCAATTGATGTTGCATTTAAATTTTTGAAAATTGTAGGTGGCAGGAAAACAAGAAATCGTATGGGAGTTCCACAGGAAAGAAGTGCGAGAAAAGAAACTATTAGAATATAACTTATAGTTGCATCTAGCTAGGTCAACAGTAAAATGGTGAGACCTAGTTCTCAGTCTAGTAGCACACTTAAATTCATGCAGTTGAGGCACTAGGGAGAGAAGCTAATCAAAACAATCACCATGAAAATATTTATAGAAAAAACAGAAGGAAGCCATGTTGGTGAGAAAATGACTGAAGTCAAGATGCCAGGTCAGGATTGATTACATTACAGCCCCTTTTAATTTTGTCAATAATCACAAGATATATAGTAGGAGCAACAGATCAGATATGGCAGCAGTATTCAATATACAAAAAAATAGTAGATTTATAAATGTGTAAGAAGCATTCTGACAAGAAGAATTTTCTGTGCCATGTATCATTAAGGACACATGGCACAGTGGATAAAGGCATTGGTTAGATCCAGTGACAAGACCCAAAGAGTGTGAGTTCAATACCTGGTTAAGGCAGTGGAGAACTTGGAGAGGGGAATTAACAGGAGATAACTGATAACTGACATCCATTAAACATGGCATGTGGAACTAGAACAGTCTATCCCAGTGAGCAAAATAAAGGGTTCAGTTTGACATTCCAACCACCTGAAGAAGGCCAGAGCGTACAATGGCTGAAATGTTGTGATAAATATGGCAACAAAGATGAGGACAATAGTCCGAATAATGTAAATAGTGTACATAATATCTCATCTCAGAAATATAGACAGTTACCAGTTTTAATTTGTTGGATCTGTCGGACTTGCTACTAAAACAAGAGTAAGTAATTGTGTCATCAGCATAAATACTAAGTTGGAAACTGACAACATTGGGAAGGTCATTGTTGAAGATCAGAAACAGCATAAGTTCAAGGATAATTATTTATAAAAGAATTTTTTTTTAAGCATTTCACCCCAAGCAATGTGGGAGTGCCACTCGGGTTACAGAGAATGGGAGCAAAAGTAAAGGGGCGTGATAGAGGAAAAGATGAAGAGAAGGATTTGGGAATTAAGTTACATTACTTGACTTTCAACAGCAGCAATTGAAATGGGTAGAAAAGCAAATGTTGAATTTCCATATGATAAAAGATTGGAAAGATAACTCCCATCAATACTAAAAAGAGTAATAATAATGGTCTTAAAAAGTCTAATTTCCTGAAATAGTATCTTAAGAAAAATTTTTCTAACTGTTCAGTCAATGAATGCTGAATGTCTCCTGCTTGATATCAGCAAATCTCACTCTTACCATTATTTGGTCTTTAGTCTATCTTCTCAGGTTTTCTTTGATCTTATATCAGTTGTTGGTTGAATTGCTTAATATATCAGAAAAGAATGATTCTATTTTTGGTTCCTCAAGTAAATTTTCAGTAGGTTGAATTTTTTTTAGATTGTTCATCAGCTAAAGATTTTGCATATAATGAAACAAGTGATAGTTTAATGATGACAGGTGGGAAGAATATGCCACATGCAAGAGGATATCACAGCTCTAGGATTGCTTGGTGCTCCGCATTTGCAGTATGAAGACAGGCATTGTCATGCAGCAAAAACACAAGATGAATTCTTTAATCAGAAGTACATCTTTCAATATACAGGTTGTCCTCCAAAAAACTGACATCATTTTGTCATTTAATAACATAGCCACATAACTCAAATGACCTTAAAATTTTAACAAAATGTCTAAAACCCAAGTTGACTGTATAGACTTATCTCAATGCGAATCTACCAGGAAGATGGAGTGGGAATTCCAGTGATAATGACAATGTACTGTTGTAATGACCACCATGTTCTGCTGACTTAACAACTTGTGATTTTTTTTCTATGGAGCTATGTGTAAGGACATGCCTATATCTGTCCTCTTCCTGCAAGCTTAGAGGAAATTAAACAGAATCACTGTTGTGGTGGAGAATGTTACGCAATATATGCTTCATTGAGTTTGGCAGGAACTGGATTACCGACTTGATGTGTGTCATGTCACAGTTGGTGCACATGTTGAATATTTGTGAAATTGATTATAAAATTTACATCGCTTTGAAGATCTTGTTCAAATTTTGTTCTTTTATTGTTCAACATGAAACCTATTTAATTTCTGAGACATGTAGTTACTCAGATATTCACATTAAAAAATTATTTCAATATTTGGGGGGCATCCTGTATTATTTAAAGGAGCAGTTACTCACTTATGCAATTGTAGTTCATCCAGCAATTTGTAATTAAGAATTTACTTTAACCTATATCCTCCTGGCATCAGTCTAAACTGACATTTTCTTCTTTACCTTATATATTGTGACCATTTTACTTAAGGTTTGTATTTTCTTGATTCCAGATGAGAACTTATAAGTTTCCTTAATCAATAAAGATCTGAGTAAACTTCAAAGATTTCTCTAACATGGCAAAAAAATTGTTCACTATTTACATTATTTGGACTATTGTCCTCATCTTTGTTGCCATATTTATCACAACGTTTCGGACGTTGTACGCTCTGGCCTTCTTCAGGTGGTTGAAATATCGAACTGAACCCTTTATTTCGCTCACTGGGGTAGACTGTTCTAGTTCCATGTGCCATGTCTAATGAATGTCAGTTATCAGTTATCTCCTGTTAATTTCCCTCTCCAAGTTCTCCACCGCCTTAACCAGTTATTGAACTCAAACTCTTACGGTCTTGTCACTGGATCTAACACCTTTATCCACTGTTAGATCCAGTGGCAGGACAGTGACAGGAAATAAAGTGT